TTAACAAATTAAATATTTAGCTAGCATCAAGCTAGTTAAATATTTAGCTAGGCTGGTACTAGCTAAATAGCTAGCTACATTTTCAGCTTACCTATGGTAATTCACTTCCGCTTTTCGGCAAGTGAATTTGCATATAAGCTAAATATTTAGCTAGCACCAGACATAGTGAAAAAAATGATTTTCTCCTGAAACACTCTAAATAACCATAAATATTGCTCCTATTTTTTTTACTCCTCACTTTACAAACGGCGCCCCATAGAAATAACATTATTTTTTACTGATTTTCATTTTACACACAAAAAAGAGGAAAATGAGCATCAGAAAGAAGAGTAGAGACTCGTAGAGCTCCTCAGTGTAAACACCTAAATCCACTTGAATATGTGTGGATGTCGGTGTATCTGTTTGCTTTGTCCCATATGTCACAGGGATTAGTGGGAGATTTGCTGTTATAGCCAGAGTAGAAGAGTAGCGTGGAGAAACAGCAGGGATCACAGCACAGTCACAGATAATCGCAGTAGTCAGCATGCAGTATGGCTGATCTATCACACTACGAATGAGAACAGAACATGTCCTCGCAAACACCTTCAGCCACAATGTGGCGTATTCAGACACAAAAACCAAAGAGTCATCACAGCAGTGGAAGCAGGGCTTAGTAAGCAATAACAGCACATTATTAGAAGAAACAATCCACCACCATTTAACGGCCTGCGGTGTTGGAACCAGGCTGGGATGTTAGAACAGGTCACAGGTCAAGGATATGCTATTATCTCACAGACTTCACCTACTGCTATAGTCGCATAAGAACATTTCAAACTGATAATTGATACAATTACTTTAGTCTTTGGCGCTCAGACCTCGGCAGTCATCATTAGTGCTGAATTTTGCATTGATATGCATGAACAGGAATAAAGAACAGGAATGTTTCCCCCCAGGCTCCAAACTGGTGTTGGAGTGGAGATAGATGAAGTTGGTCAGTCTGTAGACTGCTGGTTGGAGAGACGGTGTAGGTACCAGATTGACTCGGGCTGCCAGATTGACTCGGGGGCCTGCGCCTTTTGATGACGTCATAATATGGCAACTCCGCCCGTCACAATATGGCAACACCACTCGTAACGATATGGCAACTCCACTCAAACAAACTACATTGCGCCCGCGGTCTCTATTTGTCACAAATCTATTTTGCGTGTCCACGCAAACCACAGACATTATATGACGTAGACGCGTCATTGGGCGGGATCTGCCTATGCTGAGATGCGTCAGAGCGTCCGCCATCTTAAATGTGGCAAATCTGCAGTTTTTCAGTCACTTAAACAGTATCAGAGGGACTTTAATCTCTGAATACACTTTGTAT